GAAATTATGTAACAATAAACCTTTGTTAATGTCCTGTCTCTATTTTTAATCTACTGGCTGAATTTCTTCACTTACTTATGCAAATGGTTTATTACCAGGTTCTTATCTTAATTTCAACTTACCTTCCCTGATGTCTTATTATATACTAATTCAACACTCATAAATTCTATGAACTTTTACCTTTGCTTTATTAATAACTTTACTGTGATTGGTACAAAAGCTTTTTTGTTTGTTTGTTTTTTGAGGCAGAGTCTCTCACTCTGTTGCCTGGACTAGAGTGCCATGGTGTCAGCCTAGCTCATAGCAACTTCACACTCGTGAGCTCAAGCAATCCTCTGCCTCAGCCTCCCAAGTAGCTGGGACTACAGGCATGCGCCATCATGCTCCACTAATTTTTTCTATATATTTTTAGTTGTCCAGCTAATTTCCTTCTATTTTTTTAGTAGAGATGGGGGTCTCACTCTTGCTCAGGCTGGTCTCGAACTCCTGAGCTCAAATGATCCTCCCGCCTCGGCCTCCCGAGTGTTAGGATTACAGGCGTGAGACACCGCACCCGGCTGGGTACGAAGGCTTTAAGCCATGAAAATACGCAGTATTGGATATGAATCTAGAGTTGGCCTTAGCATTGCAAACTATTTCTTAGCAATAAATTAGTTCTTTAAAAATCTTAAACAGGGGCCGGGCATGGTGGCTCACGCATATAATCCTAGCTCTCTGGGAGGCCGAGGTGAGTGGATCGTTCAAGGTCAGGAGTTTGAGACCAGCCTGAGCAAGAGTGAGACCCCGTCTCTACTAAAAATAGAAAGAAATTATCTGGACAACTAAAAATATATATATAGAAAAGATTAGCCGGGCATGGTGGCGCATGCCTGTAGTCCCAGCTACTCGGGAGGCTGAGGCAGGAGGATGGCTTGAGCCCAGGAGTTTGAGGTTGCTGTGAGCTAGGCTGACGCCACGGCTCTCTAGCCAGGGCAACAGAGCCAGACTCTGTTGCATAAAAAAAAAAAAAAAAAAATGTTAAACATTCCCTCTTAGCAAACCACAGGACTGTAGAATATACAATTTTTCATATTTAGATATCTCTGAAATAAGACATATCTTTGAATCAATGCTTCTTAGATTCCATGAAATGCAGTACATTATTGCTTTGGTGTATTAGCCAATACTCCAGTGGCCTGAAAAAGGCTACAGATGGCACCTAATGTACATACGGCCAGGTCAGTCACCTATTCTCTACCCTTTTACTTTCCTATGAAATAATAAAAGCAATAAAAATCCCTACCAGAAACATGTAAACAGAGTTGCTTTTGATAAAAGAAGCTAAAGATTGTTTCTTGGAAAAGCAAGAACAAAAATCTAAAAGCCCAGAATTAGTTGTTCCAGCCTGCTTGGTCTCCTGCCCACCTCGCATGCCTGCTCTCTGGCCACTGTGGCTGTAGGGGCTAATCTTGTTCTTGCCTTGGGCCTTTGTCTACACCAGTCTCTTGGCCAGGAATGCTTTTCTCTCTGCTTTGGGTTAACTTCTTCTCTCCTGCCCTTTATTTCTTCATTTCCATGTAACTGCTCCCGAGAAACCTTCCTGACTCCCCAGAGTAAAGCCAGAGCCCTGAGATCTCACTTTGCCTTCTTTGTACTTACTATGATTATTTTTGAATTTGATGAATTTCTGTCTTCCCTAACATACTCTAAACCCCCTAAATCAGGGATTCTACCTAGTGCACAGAGGCTGTCCATGGTGGATGCTGGTGAAACAAATTAAATGAAAAAAATGAAAAACAAAACGAATAAAAATACCCAGAAGTACACATTCATTATATACTGCTACTTTGATAAATTAGATGTAGAATATCTGGAAGACTCAGGGGTTCATCAGAATATTAGTAATAGTGTAGATGCTAATGGGGGAATGTAATTCATTTGTTCCTAAGACTTGAGAGTAAAATATTTGCCGTTTTATATTAGTAATAAAAAATACAGAAATCTCTTTGCTACTGCAAGTTCAGTTTAGTTAAAATTAGATGTATGTGTATTTATTTCGGCATCTCATTTAAAGCAACCTTGAAAACTTTGGTTCTGATATAAGGAAATTGCTTCAGTTGCTGGACACTTCTTTGGGAACAGTAAGAGAGAATTTTAAGGAAGAGGCAATGGATAGCAGAGATATGTTTGCAGTTAAGCCTTGTAAAGACAAAAGAAACCTGCAGGACAAAATTTGGGTTGCATAATTGCATTGTCCAAAGAGGGAGAAAACAGACTTCTCTAAGAGACTGTGTTGGTAGTGGTGGTTAGCGGGGACACAGGAGAGGTAGACTTGGGAGGTGGGGGTTAACACCTCGGAATCATACAAGAAGAAAAATATCGAACATTTGCAGGGAGAAAGGAGCAGAAAAACAAAACATTTTGTCTTCATAAATTATAACACATTTACAAACTCCTACCTTAGGAAAGGGAGATCCTGGGAAATTTCTGGCAAGCCTGGTCTGGTCAGAGACTCCATGTGAGGCTGCACATGCCGTGTCCTGCATGAAGATATTTAGTCCAGGCCCAGCTCACCAAACCCTGGAGAAAGGGGCGTCTTATTCTCAAGGGCACAAAGGTCCCATGCATGCTAGCAGAGGCCCTCGCTATAGTCAGTGGAAGGGAATATTATAGCATGTTATTTCTAATTTAAGATGTTTCTTTAGGGTTTTGTCTTTATTATTTTTTTAAGACTATTTTTTTTCTCTATAGGTTTTAGGTTCCTGGGAGCTAGTGAGGAGTTAACTCCTGAGGCTGGAGAAATGGCCCTTGATCTGCCCTTTCATTTTATTTGAAAGACTCTCGAAGGAAATTATGTAACAATAAACCTTTGTTAATGTCCCTAAAACAAAATTGACTATAAAAAAAACAGTTCAAGATATGCCGGATGTATTTGGGTTCCATCCAAAAAAATTTAGTTCCTGAAGCACCAGTTCCTCCTTAAGCTCCTTAAGATGGCCTCACCCTTAAAGGATTTCAAAACAAACTTGAAAACAGAGTTACATTGGAGCGTGGCTACGGAACCTGCATAGTTTAGGGTAGGATACAGGAAGTCAGAAACTATATTTATTACAGTCCATTGCCATACTAGTTTCTCCTTGTTCCATACATATCTATATTACTACTGAATAATTTTTTTTTTCTTTTTTGAGACAGGATTCCGCTCTGTTGCCCAGGCTGGAGTGCAGTGACATGATCATAGCTCACTGCAGTCTCCAACTCCTGGGCTCAAATGATTCTCCTGCTTCAGCCTCCAGAGTAGCTAGGACTACAGGCATGAGCCAGCTGAATCCAATGTTCGTTAAAGACATATTGGATGAATAACGATTAGAGATAACATATATTGATAAATTAATATGTGCCTGGCACGGGGCTAAGTGATGATTTTTTTGTATGACGCAAAAACATATGTCTTTAATGTCAATGCAGGAATGTTAAATCTCTCTAAGGTAGGGATAATGAAAATGTTTAAGTATCAGGAAGGGTAATTCCTGTGGATAGAACCTCGAGATAACAGACGTCCAGAATTAACTTTCTTAAATACACAGATTGGACACAATGTGGGCAAGTTTATTGCTCTAAACTTAATTTAAAAATTGTTTTATACTAAATAAGGTTGTTGTAATACTTCATGCAAAATTATGCTCTTTAGAAAAATATTGAACAAATTGGCATATCATTTACAGCCTGGATCTCTACAGCCTGGTTTTCCTGTGGCAATGCTTGAAGAGAGGCAATCCTGATTTATCTGTGGAATAGGGATCCTGTTCACCTGGTTCTTCCCTTAGAAACAGCCCTTCTACCTTGATTTGGCTTCCTATTTCATCATGAAGCATTTAAAAAGAAACTATTCATTCCAAGTACAACAGTTTGGTCTTAAATATCTAACCCATTTTCTTCGTCCATATTCAACAAATGTTTACTGAGTACCTACCAAGTTTGTGGCACTGTCCCTGGCACCAGTCTATGCAGCTGAACAGACACACATACAGACCGGGGGCTGTCTGTAAGAGGCTTTCCTTCTAGTTACAAAGTTAGAATACACATTTTACAGTAGTCTCTTTTCTCTGGGGCACTTGATTATGCTATTTTATCATTAAGTACTTCTATAACATGGTTCCCCCTCCTTTCATTTACAAAAGAGACCAAGGGGGCTAAGGTTTCTTCCCTTAGAAACTATTCATCTGTTCTGAGGATTTTGAGATGTTCTTTTTCTACTCAGAGCACTGATTTGGAGTGCGTGCTAGTAGCATTATCCACAAATCAATGTGATAGTCTAGTGGCTATTGTTGCTTTTGTTTCAAGACACGTTTGCTCATTAGATGATAGCTTTGACTTTAGCTAGACAGCAAGGGTTCCAGGTGCTGCCCTCAGTACAGTAGTGGTGGCTTAGATTTCCTGTTTATATGGTGCCTAGTCACCATTAGCTTCTGTCTTCTGTTGCAGTTAAATTGTCTTTCTCCTGGACCAGCCCAGAGAGAGGGAGGCGGTGTGGACAGGACCCGCCTGCTGACAGTGACACCTCCTTCGATATCACGTCCACGCCAGTCCTCGGCTCCCATCGCTGGGCAGGATCACTCTTCCCGCTCAACTGGGAGGAGACCCGGGCGGGTGTCCCTAGCCCCGGGTTGGGGGGGTAGCAGCAGAACCCGGTTCACTCCAGGGGCCACCAAAGGCCGGAGGAAGGCAGGCCTTCCAGCGGGAAGAGTGGAAGTGAGGCGCTTGCCCGGGGGCCGGGGCGGCGGCGCTCAGGCCCGGGGTGGCGGTGCACTCCCCGGCTCTGGGCTTGCGCCGGCTCCCGCCCGTGGGGAGAAGGAACCAGATGGGCGGGTTCGAGCGTGTGCGGCGGCGGGCCCGGGGCCGCCGGCTCCTCCCCGCGAGTGTGCCTGTCTGCCGCTGGCCGCGCTGAGGCAGTGCGGCGGCGGGCGCGCCTAGGCTGCCGCCCTGCGCCCTCGCCGCGGCCATGCCCGGGCCCTAGCGCGCCTGCCGCAGCCCGCGCCCCGCAGCCCGCAGCCCGCGCCGGCCACCGCCTCCTCAATGGGCAACCTGCTCGGCGGGGTCAGCTTCCGCGAGCCCACCACCGTGGAGGACTGCGACTCCACCTGGCAGACGGACTCGGAGCCCGAGCCCGAGCCCGAGCCCGAGCCCGAGGAGCCGGGGCCGGGTGGCGGCAGTGCGGGCCCGAGGCACGAGCCCGAGCAGCCCGCGCAGTCCCCGGAGCCAGCTGAGGGGCGGCCCGGCGCCGGCTCCGCGCCGGACGAGGACGCCGAGGCGGCGGGCGCCGAGCAGGTACGCGGCCCAGCGGTAGCCTCCGGTCGGGCTGGGGCGCCCCGGGCACGGGGAGAGGAGCAAGTCCCGAGCCACCCCCGCGCACAGAGAGCAGGGAAGCTAGGCGGCTGCTCGCCCCCTGTCACCCGACCCTCAGCACCCCAGACTGTCCCGCCGCCCGGGGACCTGGGGGCCTGCGGTGGCCGCGAGCGCCGGGGCCGCCCGCTGCCGGCCTGGGGCCTGGCTGTGGGCACGTTAGGGAAGTCCCCAGTGAAGTCCCCCAAGGCAGAACCCAACTTGAAGGGGTGTTTTCATTGCCTCTGCAGCGCCGCTGGGTGATGCGAAGGTGGGGGTGGGAGGAACCAGTCTAAAAATAGAGAATTGTGAAAACCCCTCTAGTGCATGTTTTTGGTAAAAAATTACTCAGGATGAGATGAGGCTACAATTGCAAGCAGCGAGCACGCTCCCCTACGGAGGGGTCTGCAGTCATTAAAAGTATTGTAGACGGTCCCCCTGGCAAGTTAAAACGTCACAGTTCTTACCCCAAGTCAGGCCTTTCGCCGGCGGAGTTAGGACACTCTTCAAAAATCTTATTTCACCCAAAAGACTTGTTGATCTAACTGCGCTTAAATCATTTGACTAACACAGTCTGGGAACAGAGGTTAGAAAAGAGATAGATAACCCCCTTAACGTCCGATGGACTGAAAATAATCAGAAACTTTAAAAATGGGGAACTGTGTACCCTGTCCTTTGAAGTGTGCACCGTGGAGGTATTTAAGGTTTGTTCTCCTCATTATCAGCTGTGGGGGATCAAGAGTGGGAAAATGGAGCCCCAAGTCCGGTGTGACTACAGGGTTTTAGGGGAATCATCACCTAAATGTTACAGCTAATGCTTCCTCATCCATCTTGATGATCAGCTGTGTTTAGGTGAGGAGGAATCATAAAGTCTTGGTTCAGGCTCTATGCTAAGCACGTTATTTAAATGAATTGCAATTTGGAGGTGGAGATTTTTTGTTCATAATCTCCATTTTAAAGAAAACTGAGGCTTAAAGAGAAAGTGAAACTTGCCCAGGATCATCCAGGGAGAGAATGATGCAAACCCAAGTACGTCTGTCACCAACCTCAGAACCTTGGACCTGTTGGAATTCTGAATTTCCTCCTGCACCGTGTGCTCTGGTTTGCCGCTCTGTGCCGCTCTGTCATTTTGTATTGCTGATTTAAGCCTACGGAAGTATTTGATACTATATTCCTGTGTTTCTCTCTTCCACTTGTCTCCCAATTAAATTTCTATAGAAATTTGGGATATCAAAAAACAATAGCTAAGATTCAATCCAACTAACCAGGCCCATCCATGTAAAACAATTTAATAATGTTTCAATCAGTTAATTGTAATCTCAGTCAACAGTAGGCCACACCAGTCCTCCCTATTCCACTTTAATGATTATTAATTTTTCTTGCTAGTGTCACCATCCAACTTCTAAAAAAAATCTACTTTTTGATTTTGTTTTTTGACTGTCAATCCCATTTGTTCTGTACTCGCCAGAGTCAATCCACTTGCAGGCACTACTGGACTTACCTTTAAATTATATACCAGACTGACTACTTCACACCACTTGCATTGCATCATCCTAGTCCCAGGAAATATTGGACAAATGATGGTGCTATTAACTAAGATGGGGAAGTTTAGGGAGAATGCAGCTTTAGAGGTTAAATCAAGGATTCTCTAGAGTTTAATATCCTATTAGATACCCAAGTGGAGTTGTTGGGTAGTTATTATATCTATGGATGGAGACTCAGTCCAAGATTGGCATCATCAGTATCTAAGATCAGTGGTATTTAAAGTCATGGGAAGATATGAGGTCATCAAGGAGTGATGAGGAATGAGGACTAAGGCCTGGGCACTCTTCCATTTAGAGGGTGTGAAGAAGAAAAAAGGAGCCAAAAAGGAGGCTGACAAGGGGTTTCAGTGAAACAGGAAGCAAACCAGGAGAGACTGGCATCCTGAAAGCCAAGTACTAACAGTTTCAGGAAGAAGGGATGCCTTAACTGACTTAGTACTGTTGAGAGTTCACCTGAGATGAACGTTGAGAAATGCTTTGGCAAGATGGAAATTTCTTGGTGAAGTTCACAAGAGCCATTTTGATGGAATGCTGAGGAAAAGGCCTGATTGGGGTGGATCATGGGAGGATGGAAAGAGAAGAACAAGACAGGAGTGTGGGCAGTTCTTAGGTGATGATTTACTAAGAGAGCAGAGATGGATCTATAATTGAGGGAGGACTTGGGTCAAGGAAAGTTTTGTATGTTCATTTTAAGAGTAGAGTTGGTACAACATGCTTGTTTGCTGAGGGAAATGATCCAGAAGAGAGGGAAATTTTGATAATCCAGGGAAGAGGAACAATATTTAAGGAAGAAAATCCTTGCCTGAGCAAGTGAAGGGGGTCTGTATAGAGTCCAAGAGGAATAGAGGTTGGAGGAGCAGGAACAGATGCTGGCGGGTTGGTACATTTAGGGTTTGGAGGACAGTCATTCTTTTGATAATCCTGGGAAATAGGTAGAGCATGAGTCATTGTCTTCATTTCACAGATGATAAAACTGAGGTTCATTTAAGTGATTTCCTCAAGTCCTCACAAATACTAAGTAGAAGAGTTAAGATTCACCTTAGTCTCCTGACTCCAAGTCTTGGGTTATTGATATTATACCATATATATATCCTTCACTTTTAGTGGAGCAGAAATCGATTTGGACCTAATTAGTTGGACTTGGATCTTAGAGCCTGGAACTGTAGTTCTTGCACTGTCACAGGGGTCGGTGTTGCTCAGCTTCTCTAAGCCTCAGTTACCTTGTTTTTAAGATGGAAACACTAATAACTGTCAGCCAGGTGTGTTGTAAGAATCAAATGAAATAATATACATGTGAGTGCTTTGTAAATGGAGAAGTGCTTTCTATACAAATGTAGGATGATGATTCATATGGTTGTAGCTCAGGCTAAATAGATTCAGAAACTTGCTAGGCAGAGCTATTTTGAAACGTGTGGCAAGGACCAGAATTCAGGCTTTTTCTTGCTTATGTAACATGACAGAGTAACTAATGTTAACCATCAAAGGATTTAGTGTTAAAGTATCTCTGTACTTATAGTAATAGTGAGAATAACACCACTTCAAAAATGTGTGAAAATTACTTAGAGATCTGTCAACACAGATGGAGGGGGTGCGATGAGAAAAAGGTTGAGGGCGAAGCTCTTAATGACTGTTCTGGTCCAAACTTTGTCTTCCTTTTCCTCCTCGTCACCAGTCTCATTGTCCTTCTGCATGACACTGGACACAAAGCACTTTCTCATATGTTATAATTGTACATATAGAGAATGCAA